AAAACCTATCAGCTAGATAAGTAAACAACATTTGTTACACACAGCAAGTGGGGGAAAATTGCGAACAACAAAATACCAAGAGTAAACCAAAATAGCAGAGGGAAGGAAATATTCTATAATTGTCAGAACAACAATACGTTGCGCTTTTTGTCTGTCTGAGAAATTTTTTGCATTAGGCGACGTAAAAACCAGAAAAAAACAAACACCTAAACACACAACTAAAACAAAAGCAGAGACAGCCAACAGACAAAAAATGAAAGCAGAGAAAAGCCAGTGAAAAAAAAAAAACAAAAATAGAAGCAAATGCCGAAACAGTGAAAATGTTCCTTTCATAACTTTTTTGCCAAATTGTCAAACCAACGCTCTCCAGGACTTTGTCGAGTCTCGGACCAACAAACTTACACATAACCTATATAGTAGAGGGAAATCGTGGGAATCGAACCCAAAAGCCGAACAAGCAGACATATACGATATTTAATGAAGGACAAACAAACAGTTGCAGTGTACCATAAACTACATTTAACGTTTAGAGTGTTGAACACAAAACACACCGATCATTTCAGATTTTCCAAGGATCGCGAGTCGCGACTTTGTCATGTGCATCACACTTATAAATAATCAAAAAAAAATAAATAAGAGAAGCTAACAAATTAAGGAAGCGAAAATACAGAAATCTTCAATTTTAGATAGACAAAGATCAGACCACTGGACAGTCTGGCATATCGGGAGTTTGGACGGAAGACGACCTTAGCCAGGAGCCGATTACTTTAGCGGGTCAGAGGTCATTGGGGAGAATTCCAGCTGCAGCTTCTCCCTGCGGGAAGATATTTTTAAACGGGGAAGCTAGCGAGTGGCAGCGACGGCAAACATGTTATATTTGCATAATATATATAGATATATATATTAAACCTACTTCTAAGGCATATATAAATATATAAATAAATATATTTTTAAGACATGTTCTAAAAGCAATAATTCAAAACAACAAGAAGCGCGACGGAGGCGGGCGCAAATTGAACAAAACCCAAAAGGAATACATAAAATATACACCAATATATAAATATACATAAAGATATATACACCTACACGTAAATATATATACATGCATACCAGATAAATGTATTAAAGCAAGCGATTAGCTGAAACACCAGACTAAAACCCTCGACTGTCTTAGTCAGAGTCTGGAGAAATCATTTCGCAGGCAGCTAAGCCTGAATTGCTACACTTCTTTAACTAGAGCCCCATGATCCATGATCCATGATCCATGATCGGTGGGCCGGCAATCGTTTGTACTCGTATTATTTGTGGTGTAGGTGGGACGAGGGAGTCCTGGATCTGCTTAGTCTCAGGATTCCAAGTCCAAGTTTACGTTGTAAGTCGATGCAGCTTTAGGTGTAATGTTGAGTCTTTCCTAGAAGTTTCCCCAGCATTTCCCCGCTAACGATCGACTCTAGGCTTTCCGTTTGTGTTTCGTAGTGCTCTATATTCTATAAGGATCTTCTGCGGAAGCTTTAGCCGATCAGAGACATATAACTACTATTGGTATACCGGATCAACTGCAGCGTAATAAATAGCGAAACAACAAGCAATGCGTCCTTGTAACAAAATCAATTTCAGTCAATTAGAGAATTTCCAACACCAACAAAGCACAGAGACATAAAGACAACATTTAACAACAAGCAACAAAAACATTTTTTAAAAAGCAAACAACAAAAAGCAAACAAACAAACAAAGACAAAGAACAAACAGTTTTCATTATTTTTTTACTGATGCGCCGTCAGAGCGAAAAGAAAGTAGGAGAAAGTACGAGATAGAGGTGACTTGACGGCGCAGGCGCAAAAGCTTTAAATTGAACAAAATATAAATAACACGAACAAGGAGAACAATTTATAGAATTCGACAAGTGAGCTCTCTTTTTTATATCGAGAACGGAGAATTGTGTGTATAGAAAGTATGCCGTGACGATTTTTTAAAAATAATGTACCCCATACTTTAAGCTATACGCAACTTTCGGTCAAAAAGTCAATTGGAGGTCGAGGCTGGGTAGGAAGCCAAAAGTTGAATATAAATACGCGGCACGAAAAGACATAAAGTGTAATGTAAAATAGTTTTAAATTGGCGAAACACCAGATGAAGATAAAGGTGATGACGATGAGGAATGGGTGTAGGCGGAGTTACGTAGTTACATATACGAATTGCTTTCCGTTTTTCTCTTATTATTGACTTACAAACATATCAGTTCTTTTTATGTGTATGAGTATAGCAACAACATCAACAAATACGATTACAATTACGATAACGATTACGATAATGAAATACAATTTAACTAATACCTAGCGCTAACGAGAGGAAATCTTTCTGTTTACCAAAACCAAAACCAAACCACACAGACGAGTAGGACAAGAAGCCCAGCTGGCCTTTTTGAGAAGCGCGGAGAGCGGCGTAAAAAAGGCTCTTGGTACGATACGACTTGTGGGCCTTCTACACTTTGACGTGCTTTTATACGATAGCAATCCTTTACTCACACGAGACATTTCTATCCTCAGTTCTTTTTTATAGACATGTGTACATACACCTCACGGCACCCACATAAACGATACACACACACATTCACCCATACCGATACACACTCAGCCACAGACACAGACACAGACACAGACACAGATACAGACACTGGCACAGACGCATATATACGATGGAGATCACATACAAAAGAACCTTCATACGAACGATCACTTGACTATTTTTGCTATAAGTAAGAAATTCCCCCCAGGAATGTGTCAGTCGGAAGTGGCAGAACTCCTGCTGACAAAACACCTTTACTATATTGACAATATCTCTTATATATTTTACACTATACTATATGGAAAATTATATATTAATATATACAAGAAAAATGAGGAAAACCAAAACCAAAAACAAATAATACATAATTGAGGCAAGGCGAACGTGAAGCGTGAGTGGCGTTAAAATTGTATTTACAAGAAATGCGTAACCAAGCAAGATGAAATCATTTTAATACTTTATACACATAAAAGTCAAAGGAATCTTTAGAGACAAAAACCAGGCGGCAGATGAATACGCAACTACAAGACAGACAACAAGACGATGAAGATACATTTATAAAATGCGCCATAGCAGGGCGTCCAGTTTGTAAGTATTCTAACTATGTAAGTAAAGTAATTAAGGAGCGCAGGACGAGAATCAATTAAACATACATACATACTGTCTACGGAGCCGTGGAGTCGAGTGCTCCGGCCACTTTCAGTGCGAATACTTTAACACAAATAAAAGCGGATGGAATGAAGGATGTAGGCGATGAGTTCGGGTGATTCGAAATCGGACACATTGGGATGGATGGGTTGATGATGGATGTTGGGTGCGAAATGCAGGATGCAGGATGCGGGATGCGAAATTGCCAATGTGTGTACATATGCGTAACAAAATAACATAAACTGGTACAGTACTACACTTACAGCAAACTATACAAGGTAAAAACATAATATTTAATGGCAGAACAGCGGGAGACCCATACACATAAATAGAGGCATAACGAGAATTTAATAAACAGTTTTTCATTTCTATATAAAGAAATCCGGTAACGAATTTGTATATTTACTACGAGAAAACGCGAAAAACAAGACAAGAAAATTCGAAATATATACAAAAAGATATATATTAAACGGAGGACGGACCTCAAGGAGGCCGAAGAGCCTTTCTAAGGACAGCAAATATGCCCGTATATACATATATGAGAATAAAAACCCAAAAACCCAAAAATGATATATATACATATATATACATAGTTATATAACCAAGAACAACAAATAAACATATAGTTAAATTCAATAATGTTAAGCATTCGATGAGCAAACAGACAGACAGGCAGGCACGCATACCGGTGGTTAAAGAAATTCAATTATTTATAAGGACCCTCGAACCGAAAAGAACATAACTGAACGGAACTATGCGGCCACCAACAACATCAGCAAAAAGCAACAGCAACAACAACAATTCCATCAACAACGGCAACATCCTTAACAACAGCAGCAAGTGCAACATTTATTAAAGGACGACAAAAGGGCAAATTGTTGCTCTTTTGTACACACAAAATTACATAAGTTTTTAACACACTCACCTACAGAACACACTTTACCCACACACACACACACACGCTCACACACAGCCACACACATTCAAGCCCACTCACACAGTCAGCCTGCAATATGTATATGCAACAAAAATGCGAACAACTTTAGCAGCAAATTAAATTTCACTTTGTTCACAATGTGCCACGTACAGGGAGGAAAAGGAAGAGATGAGGTTCTTGGGGATACGGGTATCCAATATCCCCTCGATCAGGTTAAGATCGGCAGTGAAATCGGCAGAATCAGCAGCAACAACAAAGATCAGCAACCGCATATTAACCCAAAAGAAAAAACCAAAAAACAAAATAAAACCGACAAAAATACAAAAGAACAAAAGAACAGAAAACTAAAACATGATTTTAAACAAAAATGAAATGAAATAATGGCATAATAAGTTAAGCTAATGGTACATAAGTTTAAAAAACAAACGGCAAGAAACGCTCTAGAGCAACAAAAAAACAAGATGAACAGAAAACCAAGACAAACAAATATATATATATATATATATAAAATAAAAATTATAATGAAATAACTGAGAAATAAATAAATTAATTCATAATGATAAATAAACCAATATGAACATTGTTCAAAAACAATTGCTGCCTGAGTTTTTTACTGGGATTTTTACGGATTTTTAATATTGTTTTTAAAATGGTCATAAGCTTCTTGCATCTTCCTATTTTTTTTTAACCGAAACATAGAAGATATCTAAGTTCCATAATCTTCAGAATTAGTCCTTTGGTTTCATTGGTTTTTTTTTTGTTCATAAATAATAAGTACTAGAATGAAATAACGTAACTTGCCTTTCCTATTGGGTTTGCTTTTCCTTCTGCAAACTAAAACACGCCTTCGTACAACGAACAACAACCATTTTATTTAACAGGATATTTACAGGACATTTAGCGAGCGGGGCAGTGAACACAAATCCACTCGGAAATCGAGGCGTTCACCAGCGAAATGCGGGATTAGCGCCACTCAGCTGGACTTCTTGAGCTTCTTGGCCTGCTGCCGTTCGTCCCACCACTTGGCATACCACTTGGCACTCCGCTCGGCACTCGAGTCCGGATCGAAGAGGGGCATGTAGTCCATGTGGATGGAGGCCCTCAGCCGGTTGTACATCAGCATTGAGGACGTGTAGGAGGCGATGGCGCGCAGGGAGTATCGAAGGCGGAACTTGGTGTAGGGATACGCCACTTTAACCACCACCTCGAGCAGGAAGGCCAGGAAGAAGAAGAGGAAGTGGGGCACGTACCACCAGCTGGTCTTCACCTTGAACCGCTCGCCCATAATGGCCATCTTCTGGACGAATCGGGAGACATCGTTGATGCCCGTGTCGTCGGTGACGAAGACGGGAAGTCCGTTCACCGCCTTATCGGATACCTTGAGGGCCTTATAGGCGCAGATGTGTCCCCAGGCCACGTTTCCGGCGTAGACCAACTGCTGTTTGCCGCCCACGCCGGCGATCCTCGGGAAAACCCATCCCCTGGTGGAAAGATAGTCGAAGAGTTCCGTGATGAACAGCGAATCGCACTCGCCGTAAGTCAAAGGAGCTCGAATGGCGCTCGTCGCCAGGTATTCTGAAAGCATCGGATATGAAGCGAATAATAAAAATATCTTTATTACACAGGCTATCATTTAAATTAAAACTTTTGTATAATAAACAATAATACTGAAAGTATCAAGTGAGTAATTGTATTCAATTGTATATGGTTTGAATTGGTAAGTATTTATATTAAAAATTATCCCAAGAATCTGGAGTTACTCTAAAGCTGATCTCGTATTTATTGAAATGAATTCAATCAAATCATCTAATCTGAATTAATCTTGTTCATTTGCAAAAGTATATTTTTGTGCGGCTTAAAAATTGTATATAAATATTAGATGATGCCACTCGTTTTTTTTAAATTATTGTAATTAATTTTATACTAAAATTGGAATTCTTTTTTAAAAAGACTTACCTTGCTGGTTCTGTAGAGGTGCTCCATTCGAGTTGAGCACTATGTTTTCTGCCCTCAGCTTGCTGGAGGCGTATCCTGGTATCAGAAACTGACTGTCCTGTTCCCACAATGTAGAACTGTCTAGTGTGGGAGTGTCTGTCTTGGATTCCGTGGAGTTGATAACCGCCGAGAATGTACTGCGTCCCTTAAAGGGCACAAAGCAAACTGATGTGCAGCTGGTGTAAACCAAACGCTTTACATTGTTCTGAATACACAGATCCACCACAGCCAAGGTGCCTAAAGTAGGGCAGTTCATTGATAAAAAACAAAAAATACAAGCCAAAACAATAGTGGGGCTTAGAGCTTAAAAATAAATAAGTAATAAATGAGGATTCATAAGCTTCTAAGTTTGATACTAGATCACAACATTTTTTATTTATAACATAATACCACATTATTATTAAAGATTTAATATTTTTTGTAACGTTTAATTTGTGAATATTATTCAGATAATCTAATGGTGTCTCTAAATACACCCAATTATTATCAATTTGTTTTAGGCCTTCAAAATATGTGGAATTAAGAAATTATACCTTTCGACATTTCAAAAGAAATACAGAATTAAATAATGGTTTCACTATTTCGTAAGTTATTTTTAAATTTAGTTAATATCAAACGTAAACCAGTTTTAGCATAATAAAGCCATTACAATTTCTTAGAGATTTCACTTTAATGCAATCAACTCCAAGCTTATTACGGCCCATCATAATCAATGAAATTAGACCCCGAATAACCTTTTCTTCAAGGCACTCAACCTGTTCACTCACCGTTCACATTCACGCGCTCCAGTTCATCGTAGTTGGGCGGATACTCGATTTTCACCGAGGCGGCGCAGTGGAAAACTCCATCGACGCCTCTGAAGATCGGATTGAGTTCCTCCCGATCGCCGGCGATGTCGGCGACAAAGGTTCGCAACAGGGTCGTCTGCTCGTGTCCGATGTTGTTCTTGTAGGGAACGATGTCCAGCGAGCGGATCTCTTTGATGCCCAGCTCCTCCTTCCGCTCCAGCAGCTGCTTGATGAGGTGCTGACCCAGAAAGCCACTGCCGCCGGTTACGAGCACCACTTCCCCGCCTTTGTTGCCGCCGCTCATTGCGTCCGGGGGTCAAAGTGCACTGCTTTTTGGGTTAACTGCAACGAAACAGACTGCAGGTCAGCTTTGACTACTGGCTGGCTCAAATTGTTAAGTGGAGTTTCCGTGAGAGTGGCTTTTATGGTCGGCCGTCCCATAAAGCCGGCCACTTGGATATCACTCGTAAACTGGCTCAACATCTGCCGGCGACCTTCTTCGAGGGTCAGCGGAGCAGGTTTCCAAGTGACTCGGCGCTTTTTCAAATGCTCGGCTTACGTGACGCTCCGCTAGTAAAGGTGGCTAACTACCTCATGTGTATATAAATTACACTTTGAGTAATCCAAATTTCCCTGATTACACGAATTATTTGCTTCATACTTTGTGTCATTTTCATATTTGTCTAGTTTAAATTATAAAGGAGCACTGATGCAGTGCAAATACATTTCAAATACATTTTAAAGGAACACTGATAATAAATCTAATTCTAATATAAAAAAAAAATTAAATCGATCGACTTTAGAGTTATTTATCAAAATATTGTTAGTTAGTGTAAAGCAAGCTTCATTTAGAAACGTTTGTATAACATTTTAAGTCTTATCACTTGAAGAAAACTGGTACCTATTAAAAGTTTACTATATTTAAATAGTTATTGATGGCTTTAACTAGTGCGATGTCATGCAGTCAAGTTTTTAATATAAATTAGCATTTTTCAGCAAAAGATTTTCCTAACTTTAAACAGTTCTTTATGGTATGATATACACATAATTAGCCGTTACTCAACTTCCTTAACCTTTCTTTTTTTATGTCATTCATTAGCCAAATGCCAAAAACGACTGTAAACTTCATAATTTAATTAACCAACATATGGGGAAATAATTAGATTTTGAAAGCTTTCTACAAAATAAGCAATGAAGATGTAAAGATTCAGGAAAAACTTGTTTTGAAAAATAGGAAAACATAGGGATATTTAGTATGTGAAATTAAATTGCGAAGCTAATACGCAAAGTCCATTGACATTTGTGTTTGATAGCATTCGATTTCTACTTCCCCTTAGTGTGTTACTTGGCCACGGTCAACTTTTGTATGATTTTATTAGACGCAGTCCAGCAGCTAAGGCCGTTGTGCAGACTCAAAAAAAAGAAACAAAACACAAAAGGCAACGGCAGCAACATCTGCAACAGCAACATGTACAGCAGCAACATCAGCAACGCCAGCAACATCAAAAACTCCGGCAGCAATCAAAGCAAAGAGAAACATGGCCAAATGTGCTAATGTTGTCGCGGGGCTGGCTCAAAGATTACAACACAGAATCAAAACAATTACCGCGAACTGGTTTCCCTGTCTATTTCGACATGATCTCGTCAACAACACTGAATTTGGCATATGAGCCTGTCCACTTTGGCCAACTAACTTAATCACACTTGTCCGTTTAGAAGTCCGTAAATCTAACGATCAGGAGGGAAACCCGCTTACCAGAAGAAGGGACTGCTTTATGGTGGGCAAACCTTTAAGTTTGCCTGCTGACTTGAAACTGTTTGTTGGCCATATAGAAAACTGGCTAAGACCGAAGCGAGCGTTGCCAAATCGCTAGCATATCGCTATCGCTGTTATCGATCGCAGCAATCGTGTGTTTGGCGCGTGGAATCGAAAACTTTTCAAAAACTTTTGGCTTTTTGGTAAAAGGTAATTTTTATTCAACAACAATTAAATGAATGTGGACAGTAAGTACGCTTAGTGATTACATAAATAGTTGTCTTCTCTTCCCATGCATTTTGTGGGGTGCTTAGGCAATCGCAATATTCAATAAGTACAGTATTAATTGTTTTCGTTGCATCTCTCTTTATAACTTTCTATACTTTTATAAACTCCCTGGTAAATGTATAAAGTAAACGAGAAGTAAAGGCCGTCGATACAAATGACTTTGGATTAGATTAGGATTAGGCGCACTTAACCATTAATCATTAACGAGTACGGGGAATACAATTACGGATATACAATTACGAATACGAATACAAAACGGTGTTTAGTACAATTAAAAATTCTGTTCACATTTCGGTTTGGTTTATTACAACAATATCATGTAAATGCCGATGAAGGTGCCCCATCCGTATGCACTTGGGTGTATGTGTATGTGGGCGTACTTAGGGTTGTATATAAGATTGTAAGTACCGACTTAAGTACCGACTGACTGCTGACTTGGTGGACTTCATTGCGTCTTCGCAAAAAACATAAATAATGGGACATAGTATATTACATTAAATTACACGTACGATAAACTATAATTATCTAGCAATTTCATTTAGTTACACATACAAAACACAATTGGTTTTCACAAACATTTTCCGTTCTCAATTCTCAGCCTAATGCTATTTAGATGCATTTTGATGCATAATTGGAGTGACGTGAAGCGATGAACTCAGGTTCTACGTAATCGTAATTTAACATGAATGTTGATTGTGTACATTAAACTAGTTGTATGTATATAACTCTCTGTACTGTATATAGCAGTATAGTATGGTATAGTATTGTATAGTATAGTATGCATGGGTATTATGGGCGTGCCGTTTCCAGTAGCAACATTTCAACTAACATTATTTACTTCCCTATTACAAGTACGGTTCTTTATTAGCTATTATTGTTGTTATTGTTTCTGTCGCCGTTCCACAGTTGCTATCCATCGGGGTGTCCCTTTCCGATTCCCGATTCTCGATTCCCGATTCCCGGTCAACACTTCCTCCCTTGTCTCAATAGGAAAGTGCCGAGGGCGAACGCGAGCCAACTGTGAAATCTTTGTACACCGAAAACACAGATATCTGGGGAAAGAGCAGAAATATGAAATTAAAAATACACCCACAACTCACTCACAGACCCTGCCCTATCCCCCATATTTGCCATAGTTGTGCCAATCCCCATATTGGCCACTTTAATTGCCGACTTGCGTCACAGTCAAGAACTGCAGCGCGGCCCTGGCATTTGGCCAGCAGCTAAATAAAATTTGGCATCATCTTGTGGGTGCGGAAAATGGGACAGCATCTGCGCTCTCGACACATGTGCTCCGGCGATGCGAATCGGCGTGATATCAGTTCAAGAGCAGACGCCTTATCAGTGCCGGCTAATTCCGAAAATAGTCCAAAAATGGGTGGGTGTGTTCCATGTAGAATTAAGTATGTGGGCGGGTAGTACTTGCTAAGCACTTTTGAGCTATTCTGACCTATAAATTATTAATCAACTTTGATCTCAAGAGCCAACAGAATATTTTTCTTTTTACACTTTTCAAAAGATACTGGAAGGAAAATTGTGATTTACGATGAATAAAAAATGTTGACTGGCTATTTAATATTAGCTGTAGGCTTTACTACAGCTAAAAATAACATGTTATGATTCACAAAAAAATACTTCCTATTATTAAGAAATATTGTAAAAAATTGTGCAAATATACTACTTTTTAGGAATATCATAAACATAAAAAAAAAAAAAAAGTATTAAAAAGTATTTTTATGATTTCAAAACATAAATATTTTTCCCGTGTAGGCAAAAAAAATACATTTGTTGTTTCACTAGGAAATAATTGACTTGTTCTGTTTATACTTCTGGCCCGCTGAGAACAAGTATTCTTCTTTTGGTGAATGCGGGGGGCAAAAATGATATAATGCCATATTTTCAAACTGAATATTGATCATCAGCAGACGGTTTGGGGGAATATAAGTTCTATTTGTTCATAATAACATTTTAAAATTCTAAATTGATTATCCCTTGCTATGAAACTTATGAGACTTAAAGAATGCTAATGACCTAATATGGTTTTCTACTTCCGTATTTGAATGGTCTACGTGCCTGCCCTTTACTCATTCCCCACAACTTTGAAGTCTTGTGTGCAGTCATACAAATCTAACGATCTTTTTCCACTTCCGGTGTTTCACCTGCGACTCACCTTGTCTTTTAATTGCTGGCACAGTTTCTGGCCATTCATGAGCAGCAGCAGCACATCGTTAAGCCACTGGACGGAGGCCTCCGCCTGGCGGGAATCGAAGCGCATGGTGCCCTGGTTGTTCAGCAGCTGGTAGACGGCAATGATCAGCTTGTGGCTTTGCAGGTAGAAGCTCACGGCCAGATCCTCGGGCAGATTGGGCACCAGCGACTTCATGTTGCGGCCCTTGATCAACTCGTCAATGGGCTTCTTTTTGGGCACCAGCAGACTGTTCCTGCCACGCTGCAGGGCATCCAGAATGTTGCCTATCACATGGAGCACTTCGTCAGAGGTTCTGGATGGGGAGTATAGAAACGTATAAGTAACCTCAAACCTCAATCGTATGCCAAACAAAACGTGACTCACTTGAAGTGATAAGAGTCGTCGACATCGTCTATGTGATTGATGGCGGTCTGCAGATGATTGGCGGCATCCTGGACCTGCTGCAGCTTCCAGGGCGAGTCGTGTGTAATGGAGGTACGTTGGGTTTGGCTCGGAGCCTTGCACAGCTTAAAGCTAATGTCCTGGAAAAGGCAGTTTATTTTTAGTATACTTATGATAAGAGGGAAAGAGATAAGGGAGGTCATATTCGTATAATAATAATAATATAGTATTAAATTTACATAATACGGCTTGTCTTAAATTCGGAATATAATGAAAAGATCAAAAGATTTCCTATAAAAACAAATTACGTTGTATTTTGTATAAAGAACTGAAAATAAGTATGTGCAACTGATTATTAAAATATTTTTCTACATATGCAATTGATAATTATAACAACATGTGCAATCTAACACTTTGTCAATTTAATGATTGAAACAGAAATAAATATAAAACTGACACTATAGTATTTTCTATTGCAAATGAATTACTTTTTTTCATTTCTGAATCAATTAAAAAAAACAACAAAACATCTCCGTGTGGAAAGGTATTCTTCATCAACTTCCGGTTGGGGAACTGCAAACGGTATTTCCCATCACTATTTGGGGGAGTACCTTGCTTAGATATTGAATCATCACCAAAGAACAGTAAAGAGATAAATTTTTCGTATAATTTTCGATAAAAAAAAAATGTGCACCTCTGTTTGGCACATCCTGTTTCTGGTTTCGCATCCTTGACAAGACTGAATCATCACTATCCATACATTCATTTCTACACTTACTTCATAAGCTTAGTTTTTTTTAAGTGGGTTTGAGGGAGTCCCCACTCATTTTTTGGGGGAGTATTTGAAAACTTACAGCCTGGGTGATAGCATCTCCCGTTAGTGTTAGCACGGCCTTCAGCTGATCGGGCGACACGGAGAGTATGAACTTCTCAGTCTTTTTTCCCTCGTTCTCATACAGAGGCACCGGAAACCGATGGGCGCATTCCTGGGGATTAGCATAGTTGTTACGGAAGATACCAAACTGGGTTTCAGCCAACATGTGTAAATGTACTCACCACCAGAATGGTCCGCAGTTGCTTCAGTATCGCGTGTACTTCTTGCCGCAACAGCCACTCGAACTCAATTTGCTGCGGGAATGTGGGTTTTACATATTCGTAGTGTTCCGTATTTGTATTATTTCGTGGTCCCGCCAGCCAGAGATTATATATGTATGTCGGTCGGTTGGTGTGTTTGTATTTTTTGCGATAGCGCCACCAAACAAAGCACGTTCCGTGTACAAATCAATAAAATCGAGTTTGCGGGGGCGGCGGAAAAGCAGGAAAAAGGCAGGAAGAACAGAACGTTAGCGATAATCGATAATCAATTAGTCAATACAAAGATAGTCCAATTAATCGCCTTTTTGGCAACGGTTGTTATTGCTTTTGTTGCTGCGATGCCGTTGTCATGGATTCGCATTGACTTTTAAACGTCTAAAAACTCACCAAATTGAGGGCTTCCTCACGCTCCGTGTCCGCGAGCATTTTCATCGCGCTTTTCGGCTTTTTCCGCGCTGGTAAGAATCTGCGCTTGTGTCCGCTTTCCGCTGAAGCAACGCCAGCAATTTGTATTGTGAGCGCTGTAATTTTTGTTTTTATTTCAGTTGTTGTTGTTTAATTAAAGGGCAGTGTTGTCGAATGCGAAAAGGTTGCGAATATCAAAAAATTCCATCAATAAAATACCGTGATAATACTAGAAACTGCGCAAGGAGCGCGTAGTTTAAAAATAAATACTCGTTCTGTGATGGACATGGATATTTTTATTTACGTTAATTTATTTTGGAAATTAGATTCCTCACCAGAAAATTTTATTTTCTTATATTTTTTGCTTTGCACAGTGGCATTCACTAAAGGAATAAATTAAATAATAGAACGGAAACTAATAAAAAATTTTAAAGTTTATATATTTGAGAATAATTTAATAACAACCAGTTACATTTTTTTTAGCAAAGCGTAAACGACCATTTTTATTAAGTTTTACAAAAATTTAAGTATAAACAAGTTTTTAATTTAGTTTGCAATTCTGCTAAATCTAGTATTAACTCCACAAAGCTGAAAATACTATGCCCACAATCTGCTTCACCCTGTGTTAGGTAACGTGCAAAAGCTAACGACCTCTGTTAAATGTCTACTGTTAAAAGGCTAAACC